TGGTTACTACTGCCCAAGTGCAGCACCCTGCACTTGTCAGTATTGAAACGCATCCTGTTTTTGTTAGCCCACCCCTGCAACCTATCCAGGTCTTGCTGCAGTCTTTTCCTCCCTACTAGTGTGCCCACCTCACCCCAAATTTTGGTATCATGAGCAAATTTAAACAGGTTACTTTTCACCCTATTGTCCAAATCGCTGATAAAGAAATTGAACAGTGCGGGCCCAAGGACCGAGCCCTGAGGGACTCCGCTGCCCGCTTCCCCCCAGGTCGAATATGACCTGTCCACCACCACCCTCTGAATACGACCCTTCAGCCAATTTGCAATCCATCTGACTGTGTAGGCATCAATGCCACAGTCACCTAGTTTTTTAATGAGGATGGGTTGGGAGACAGTGTCAAAGGCCTTGCTGAAGTCCAGAAAGACTACATCCACGGCAACACCTGCATCCAATGCTTTTGTGACCTGATCGTAAAAGGCAATCAGGTTGGTCTGACACAACCTGCCCCTAATGAAACCGTGCTGGTTGCCCTTGAGCATCATCCCCGATGCCGGCCCATCACAGATGTGCTCCTTGACGATCTTCTCAAAGAGTTTCCCCAGGATTGAGGTAAGACTAATGGGCCTATAGTTGCCCGGGTCCTCCCTCCTCCCTTTTTTAAAGATGGGGACCACATTGGCTATCTTCCAAGTTCCCCTAATCCAGTACATCAAGCTGTTTTTCAGTCTTCCTAACAATGTTAGGAATTCATTTTGAGTGAACAAATCCAGGACATGCTGTAAGAAATATTTACTGAAGTCCAACAGACTAATGAATGTCCCTTACTCCAGGTCATGCTGGAGTAGAGGACTCTGAGTTTTCTAGCTGTACAGCTTAAAGTGTTGGAGATATTGGTGAGGGAAGCATTTAGAACATTATGGACTTGATCTCACCTTTTTTCTACAAAGAATAATTGGAAACATAGCATTAGACATTGGAAGACTTGATATGAGAAGCCTATAAACCACTAGCTGCAAAGAAGATTTGGGTTATTTAAGGTTCTGGGCTAGTAGGCAATCAATATCTTTTCCTATGTTGATCCTTTCTTATGAAAATGTCTAGCGCTATTTACATACACCAATATGTAAATGGTCTTAGACCCTGAGTCAGAATAGCCAAACTCTGCTTTCTCCTGTACCATACAAGAATTTCAAGGTAACTGGAAGAACACAATTGGAACTGAGGGCATTATTTGATTTTCATGCTAACTCTGTCATCTAGCCTATGTTTTAAGGAAAGGATTTAGGGATTCTTGTAAGGAAAATGTTTCAAACTCTTATCTCAGTTTGGTTACAGAGGCCAGCAAAATCCTCATTGCATTCACCATGCTATGCCCCTTGTGGCCATTTCACCATCCCTATGCACACAATAGACCAGTCATAGCCACCCTGCTGCATTTTTTGGGTGGAAGACCACAGACGTCTGTTATCCATTTTTACCAGGGGCAATGAGTAGGGGGTGCACGTGGGCACACATGCACCCCCTGAGCATGGCGGTGCACCCCTTGCACAAAGGCACTACTGACACTACTGGTGGCGTCTGCAGGTGGTTGCCACCCGCCCACTGCCAACAGTGCCAGTGGCGTCTGCAGGAGCTCCCCCACTTACTGCCGCCAAGCTCCCACCGCCACCAGCTCAGCCGTGCCCGCCCAGCCGCTAGGGGCACGTGCCATTCATACTTTTTACCCAAGTAGTTCACTACTACTTTCTCTGGCTTCTTTAAAAGTTGAGCAGGGTTTTGATCTGTCTGAATGGAACAGTCCATACAGTCAAAAGTCTCTATTAGCAGTTAGAATCATATACATTTTAGATGTTACATTTACAAACACAGTAGCTAATAACAAATGCAACAGTGCTCCTTCCTTGTCTCTCTCTCAGAGGATGATCACTTCAACGACCTACTTTCAACAGTCCTTTTCACATACTGCTTCATTCCAAAGAATTGTTGTGGTTCACCTCAAAAGGATTGTATGCATATTAGTCAACCCATTTTAAGTCGTCAAAACAACGCAGTGGAAGTCATGTTCTAGCAGGCAGTGCTAAAGTACTACATATTGGTAGTAAAAGGGAGACAGAGGAAATGTTGGGCCAAATTTATCTTTTGTATGAACAGACACAGTTGTAAGTGACTTTAAACCCTCAATAGGGCTGAACTAAGGTTTGCCTTAAAACTGATAATTATGTTGGACAGACTGTACAGCCTACGAAATAAGTGGCTCTGACTGTTTACTTGTACTACAGTAAAAATGAGAGGCCAGGGCCCCATTGTACAAATATACATGAGACAGGCAGAGCACTTGTTTAACACAACTGTTATGTCTAAAAGAATCTTTTTCTGTGTGACAGGCTTTTTGTGAAATAATCCCTGTGGCCAGCTTATGATTGGTTGTTCACATAATGTCAATCAATCACTTTCTTGTAGGATATGACTACTGGGTAAGACAACATCTCAAAGACGAGAGTGTGTATGAACAAAGGAAAAATGTTGTTTGAGTCTGAAGACTGCTTCACATGTAAGTAATCAGCTCCTTATTACATTCTTTCTTCAATATATAATGAATGATTTATGTGGTTTAAATAGTACTACATTAGTATTAGTAGTATTATCCATACCACTGAGCTCAGTTTATTATTGTTCTGTACTACAACACTGTTTGCTACTACTACTATTGATGGAACTTGATGGTAATAAGGTAAAATATGATTGCTGATCTACATTTAAAAAAACCCCTTTCTATATGAATCATACATTTATGTTAGAAAATGTAGAAGGCTCAGATACCTTATGAAACCAACTTCTCAGTACTCACATGAGGTTGCTTCATAAGTCTAAGGATTGATTGTATTTATGCAAATCCAAGGTGACCCTGAATTTAAGACAACCATCCAGCAATTAGATTATTTACATGGAAATTTATAAATTTGTTATTTTCCAAGTACATAATCTAATTATTGGAGACTTGTCTTAAATTTGTCCCCACCACCACTGCAGCAGGGAAAGAAATAGTAGGGGGCAGGTGATGGGGAAGGCAGTAGGGGCAGGTTGAGGTGGGGAAATAGGCAGACACTCATAGGAGGAACAAGTCTTTGCAAATCCCTCCCTACAGCTTTCTTTTGATGAATTGCTCAAAGATGGATCAATTGAGAGATTTTGTGCTATTGGGGAGGGGAGTAGATTTTCCTTCAGAGTACAAGAATTTGTTCGTGCAGTATTTGACATTGCAAGACACGATGCAGACTCTTAAATTACCTGAATTTCCTTTAAAATTGTTAAAAATGTATTCATAGTGGGTCTGTTGTATCAAGGGTAGTCCATTCTGTTTTCATGCCACTTACACCTACAGACAGTCTACTATGATGGAAGAAGTTTTAAAGGCTCCCCCACCCCCACCACCTCTTGTTGGATAATGGGAAGTTGTTATTATATTTATGGGAAATATATCCCAAGAATTCCACAGAGATCTAATGCTTCTGTAGTTGGGAGTATTCCACCCTCAGTAGATACAAGACACTATTTCACAGTTCACTACTTGTCTCTGTGTTGAGTCCATCATTTTTGTGAAGTTGTAGTTTGAATCTAAGGTTACAATTTGTTGAAACCATTCTTCTAGAAATGAAATAGTCAAATTTCATGATTAAACAATTTCTAATGTACAATTTCAACTCTAATGTAAATCAAACTATAGCTTAGTTTAACACATTGATTAATATATAGTGAAATGCTGGAATTTAATCAAAATTTACCAGAAGTTTAATGATGTATTTCATAATGGAATAAATTCTCTCCTGCAGCACAGCTGCTTGGCTGAAGGCAGGGGGTAGCATCAGATAACAAGCTCTAGCTTCCTCATTTTGTAGTCCTTGTACCACCAGATATATCCGTAAGTTTGGCCACTGATGTATGGTTCTTTAAAGGACACTACACCAGTGAGAGGTCGGTATAGCATAGCTCTACCAAGTCCCTCCATGCCCCAACGCAGTCCTAGTAGGAAGCAGAGGCAAAGATGGAGGATTCAGCAGCGCTACAGATATGTGATCATGGCCACACAGCTGGAATTTTCTGCTAGTGATTTGTTGTAGATTATATCCCACTTATAATTGGTAGGAGTTGCACCCGTATTAAGTGATTAAAATTTGGACTATTGATTGTTCTAATTTTTTTTTAAGTCAGGCTTTTCTGTAATTCTGAATGATGTGAAATCATTTCTTCTTATGACTTCCACTGCAGCTTGATCTTATTGTTGAACGGTAGTATTTAAATACATTGCATCAGATCTAGTGATGGAGACAAACTGGACCATATGTTTGCTACTCCTCTTATCTGTTACTATGGTGAGTTATAATGCTTTTCTCGGTATGCTTAATACACAGAAACAATACTTCTTGTCTAGTTCGTGTACAAATTTCTGAAGAGGACACTCCCCTTTAAAATTATATCCATCTTTTAAAGCCTGTGTGTAATGGGATGGGATTTTAAAACCCTTTGCTTGTGTTGATGACAGGTGTCCCCTTTGCTAGTAATGGTTTTTTTAGTGGTAAAAGTTTCTGATATTGTACACCTGAATGTCCAGGCAGCATCCCATTTGTAGCAATTTGCGTAGGTAGGGCTTTCATATTTTTAAATGAATAGACTTACTAATAGTAAAATCTTTAAAATGAAAATTTGATTTATGGTGAGTAGTATATTCAGTGAAGCCTTTTGTATTTTACATCTAAAAATGACTATTTTTGTGATTGTATGAATTCAGAATGGTATTTCCTCTATAGCCTAAATTTCTCACAAATACGCCTAGATTTTCCATCTCCCTGTTTTGCTGTTTTATGGTTGTTTGATTTATATATAGAAACTGTGAGTGTCTAAATAAAAAACAATCCAAAAGTCTTAGTGATTTTAAGTGGGACATCTTCTTAATGCAATATTCTTTTCGGCCTGATTCAAAGCCCTTTGGGGTGGATATTAAAATATCCATCAGTAAGCTTTGCAAAAGACTCATTTTTCTCCCTACATATTATTTTCTTCCACAGTAAGTTATAATCTTTTGTAATTAGACAATTGCACTGTCCTCAGTTAGGGGCTGTTTACTCAGATTCAACACTAAAAAATATCACCATTAAGGGGAAAAAATCAGGTTGTTTGTAATGGATTGTACTATTCTTTTTTCTAGTAAAGTTATGCACTTGTTTTTGCAAAATGATTGTCTGTCTGTATGCTTACATGAATAACCAAAGACTTAGATTAGCAGTTAAACAGAAAATACTGTGAAAAGAACAATAACTTTTAAAAACAAACAAGCAAATAAAACCCTCCTTTTTCTTTTTAGTTTTTTGCCACTGCTATACCAGCTGAGGCACATCAGAATAATACAGAAGACATTGGTCAGCTGAGTGTTACCCGGAATAAGATTATGACAGCACAGTATGAATGCTATCAGAAAATCATGCAAGATCCCATTCATAGAAAAGAAGGTAAAGGATATTTCTTTGGAGTAGAAAGTTTTGAACTGCATTCATTAGAGAACTAAAAGTTATCTTTCTTTCTTGGTAGCAAAATTTTGAATTTGCTACATGTTTTTTTAATTCTGTTGATGCTGCTTTTAAACAGATTATCAATGCCTTGCCAATGAGGAATAATAAATAAGCGCTGTGGAAGGACACTATAGTACCTCAACTACCCAAAATATTGCTGCCCTATGGACTCCAATGTTGTAATTATACATCTAGATACAATTATACATCTAGATTCAACTCTACTCCAGTTGACAATGAAGAAAGTTTCTTGATTAGGGTAGTAGCTCTTTTGGGTTTTTCAACCCTTCTAGGCACTTGTCTTTGAAAAAATGAAAGCACCTTCATATTAAACAGATGATATAGGGACTTACTTTGAAATGTTCACATGTTGAAATGCACAAGTTATCTTCTAACTTTCAGTTTCAAGAAGGAAACTATTTTTTATCTTTCAAGTAGTCAGAACATTTGTGTCCAGACAGAAGCCAGTGAATATATTTAGCACAGAATGCCCTGTGGTTTCTACTGATCCCACTTTGGAGGAACTTCAAATACAAGCAGCATCTAAGACTACAGATGATATCAGTTTTTCTTTTTGCCATTTATAGAATCATGCATGGTCTTTTAAGCCATACTTTGTTTGCTGCTTTGCAAAAGGTACCTGGCAGAAGAAACTGGAACCCAGGATGGCTCCCTCCCAGGAGAGTGCCCTCATCATGGAGCTACAAGATCTTTCTCTCTTGATGGGTCTTTGGAATGATTGGGAATTTTTCATTAGAAAATCTTTCAAAAATCAGAAATAACTCTGTCGTTAGAGAGGGAAACCCATGACTCTTTCCTCCAGGAAGGAGGCAAAATAACTAACTTACAAAGCCATAGTCCTCCTTGATTTTTCTGCTTCTGACCTCATGGTTCTTCTATTCTTGGTCTAAGCCGAGTCCATACCCATTCTTGGCTATCCAGTCCATAGCCTAGTGATTAGGATGCTTTCCTAGGAAATGGCAAATGGGGGGTTGAATTCCCTCAGGGGAAGGAAGGCCTATAGCCCTGATCATCTACTTCCTGAGCAAGTGCTCTTATCACTAGTCTATTAGGGTGGTGGATACTATCACCCCCATTGGTATGTTTGAGTGGTCCTGTGCTTTATACTGATCCACTGACATTATCAGGTATTTTGGAAGGCATTGCCTTCTGAGAGGTCCCTAGATTGTGACATGATGGGTGTACTGCCATCACAGCCATAAGTTTGATGTATAGATACTGAGAAGGAGAGGGAATTTGGGCATTCCTCTGTCTTGCTTTTTCTATTACTGAATCATATGCCAGTCCTGCTGAGCAGCAAGCCAATTGGGAGGCACATTCAGTGCCTTGAAAGTATTCAAATACACTGAATGTGCAGTGGGAGGCACATCCAGTATTTAGGAAGTACCTAAACCCTTCAGTTTTGGTTCACCTTTCTGAGGCACCTATATTATGGGTGTTGGGACGCTGAAATGGAGACATCTACAAGGTTAATTTAGATCAGTTCCTAAGTGCCCTCAACTCCCACTGAATTTAGTTTTCCATATGCCTATTGGGATTAAGATCACACAATCTGAAGCAGGGCCTGTGGAGCTTGGTTAATGTTTGTCTATTACTTTTAATGATATTTGGTAGGACTTTAGAAATTAGAGAGGGGCTGAGATTTGCATTTGCCTCTCAAATTTGCAAATAGATTAAATTAAACAACTTAAAATTTTGGTTCATTTGAAATTCAGATCCAGTACTGATTTGAATGGGATGAGTTTAATAGTCTGGATTACTATCTAAGAAATGGCAAATCTCAGCTTTGTGGACTGAAATGCATGTCTTAACCTTGGGTAGTGAGTACTGCTATGGCATATATACTTGCATTAACATGCACAGATTTTCAGCATCAATAATTAGCCTGGTTGTTGTGTCACGTTGATACACTTATACTGTTGCCGGTATGGTACCCAGGTTAGCTTGGGTCATTTTACATGGTATTTCATTGTGCTGTGTATGCTTACTCTGTGTGCTTGGCTGTTCTTAACACGTTCATGATAGATGTGTGCCCATATGAGTATTTCCTAACAAATGCATGATCTCAGAGTAAATATATTTTAGTTAAAATGTTTTATTTATATCTTTTTGAGTCTTTTCAGGCAATGTGCTGTGCTTAGTTTAATGTTAATTTAAGAACCACCATTTTTAAAAAGAAATAAATCCTATCCATAGTGGAGGGTTAAATTATACTTTTTCCCTCTTAAAATCTTTTAAAAAACTTTTAGAATCCTAAAAATTAGAAAGGAGCAATCCCAATTTTCTATACTCTTCTCCTAATGAAATGCTTATGCTGAAGGCAATATTTGCAATTTAGACATAACCATTAGTGTCCAGTTTTGAGCACTGTACTTTGAAAAAAGGGTAGACAAAAGAGAACAATGATAACAGGCTCAAAAAAGCACAGCCTTTGAAGACAGACTGAAAGAACTGGGTTTGTTGATGACTTTAGGAAAACCTTGTGGAAGTCTTTAAGTATGTGAAAGGTTCCTATAAACACGACAATGATAATTTATAGTTCATGTCTACCAGGGGTAGAATAGGAAGTAAAGTTGCGTCATCTTCAGCAAGAGAGATTTAATATATATTTAAGACTAACTTTTTGAGCACTGGAGATGGCCATTTAGGGAGGTTGAGAGTGCTTTTAAAACAATTTAGACCAGTGATTCTCAGAGTGCTGCAGAACCTGAGGTCCTATGAGATCCGTTTAAGTGTTTCATGCAATATTAGCCCTGTTAGGCAGGTAAATACTTATGCATGACTCACAAGATAAACCCAGAGATTTCACGTTAGGATCCATTCTATCAGAAACATACTGTTGTGGTCTTTCTGAATTCTTTGAACAGAAGAATTGGTCTATTATTTTTTCATAGCAATAAAAAAATTAAAGCTATAAGCTGGCATTTTTTTGAGGAGGGCCTTCAGTCTAAAAATATTGAGACCCACTGATTTAAATAAATCAAGTCTTTTACAGATTTTTTTGATTGAAATGTTTCTGTGTTTTGTGCTGAAAGTGCAAACTATAATACTGAGAGACCTGAGTAACTTAAAGAAATGATTTGGTTTGTATAGACTCTCTTACAGATTCCAGCCCTTGTTATGGAAAGATCTGTGTGAATTGTATCTGATTTCCCTTCATGTTTATAGGTACTTACTGTAACAGAACATGGGATGGTTGGTTGTGCTGGAATGATGTTGTTGCGGGTACCACATCAGTACAACGCTGCCCTGACTATTTTCAGGACTTCAACCCATCAGGTAAAAGTAGATGAACCTCTGCACTGAGGTTGCTTGAAAAAATGGATTGTGGCTTTTTGAATCCTCCTGTCAACCTAGTGGCCAAGCTCAAGTCACTGGTTTAACTAGGATCCAGTTAAATGCAGGTTTACTTGATAGGTACACATTATCTACCACGTTCACTGGCCACATAAACAAGCAAGCAGCACCATCACTACCACACCACCACACCACTAATTGCACCTCTGAGATTCAATAAACTAAAAAAAAAAGTCAAGGACAGGTCAGATTTAGCTAACAAATGTTATCTGACCCCAGCATCCACCCCAAACTTTCCCCTAGTGTATTACAGTGACATAGTTTAACATCTTTTTAGCTCAATTTAGGTGATTGTCAAGTGTAGTTTTCCACTAACGTAAACCATAGTCTAATTCTTTTTTGTCTGTGGCTAAACTGAGGCTCTTCTAGGCTTCTGTTCCTGTGTGATCCTGACTTTGAGGTTTCCAAATGCCCTTTCACATCTAAGAGCTTTTGGTCTGTCACTGTTTGCTATATCGTAGCTATAAAACAGTCACTGAAAATGCAATTTCTAAAGTGACTCTTGACATTCCAAGCAATTTCACTCATGACATTTTTCTCTCTTTTCTGATCCTAGTTTACAAAAATAAAATCTCACATTTTAATTGAAATCCCTGGATGTCATATGACATTTACATTTTTCTGTCACTTCCTCTAGTAGTGTTCTAACAGGGAGTGTGAAATATTTTTCCGAGTAACCGTATTGGAGAAGAGGGACTTTTTTGTTTCCTTGCATCATTTTCCCTTGCCAAGCAAAAACAATGGCCACCAGTTTCCCAGAATTCAATTGCTTAATAAATCTAGTTTAATAAATCTGTTTAATAAACAGATTTTTTAATAAACAGAATTTATTGTTTAATAAATCTAGTTTAATAAATCTGTCATTGGTTTGCCAAATTTTATGGACTATTAAATATTAGACATCAGAAACAGATCTTTGCTATTAACTTTTGTGGTTTCTGTTTTATTTTCTGTTTTCATTTTCACTGGCCAAAGAAAAAGTTACGAAGATCTGTGATCCAAGTGGACACTGGTTTAGACACCCTGAAAGCAACAGAACCTGGACAAATTATACCCAGTGCAATAGCTATACACATGAAAAAGTGAAGGTAGGAAATAAATGCATGTTGCCACTGATGTAGGACTTTTAATATTCATATTATGTGTGTCAAAACCTACATTCTGATCATTTCACTGCTATTAAAACTGTACATGGCAGTATTTCAACATAGAGGGAAGGCAGTCTGTACAGAGAAAAGGGGAAAGTGTGTTAAGATGACCAAAAGAGCCTGGTTTTCATTTAAGTGGTTTTCATTGGATTGAAGAAAATGAAATTGTATTTATTTACTAGACTTACGTCTTCTCCACACAAGGCTTAGGGTGTCTTACAAAATAACTTAAAAAAAAGAGTAAAATATTAAAATAATATAGTATAACAAAGCAAATTGCCTCCCCAGCTCGCAAATTCAAAACAATCCATCCCAACCTACGTATTTCTATTCCCCTGCTTCTTACCTAAGAAAAGCATCCTCCCTTCTTCCCTTCCCCATGTGCAACACAACATCATTTTGTTATTTCCATTCATTTACTCCATGAAAGATAGTTTCCTTCCATACTCCCTCCCATCTTATCCACTCTCTGTCTCTCACAATAAAGATTCAGATCATCCCCTCTCACAAGGAAACTTTGCAAGGGGCGGAGGAGAAAATCTTTGTTAAGAGGTCCCTTTTAAATCTGAAAATTTTGTTTGCTTTATCCTCCCATAGAGAGCCATGTTCCAAACACTATATAGTTCCAAGATGCACACAGATGTCTCTGCTCAGTGAAGTCCCCTACCAGAAATGCAGAAATGAAGTTCCATTCTGGAGTAACTGTATCTCCAGCAAGGGGAGTGCCCTAGTAGAGCTGATTAAAAATAAGTTAATTTTTCATATTGATTTTAGAAAAAGAAAAATCCTGTTTTTATTGAAAAATTTGGACCAGCTCTACTCCACAGTGGATTCCACACAGCAACCTTGGGGTTTGGTTGGCGTGCATTTCCCTTCTATATATGTCCTGGTTTCCAGAGAGACTCATCTACCAAGTTAAGGACATAAACAACTGTGCCATCTGAATGAACAAAACAATTTTCATCATCCACAGATCAGGCAGAGATAGATTTGTGCATAGAAGATTGTGTGTGGCATGTCCCATGCAATACAATATGCATAATAAGGACAGGATGGATTATAATAGGCTTCAATGCAATTTGAAAATATGAGTCAGAAATCTGACAAGAGTTAGAAATAGCTGTTAAAACCCAACATCCCACCTGTCTTTGATTATATCATCTGTCTATGGCAGGGGCGGGCAATTATTTCAGGCGGAGGGCCGCTTACTGAGTTTTGGCAAGCCATCAAGGGCTGCAAAACAGGCAGCCATGGGCAGGTAACTATTACTTTTCCAAATTTTTTAGGGACCCTGTGGGCCAGATAGAATGGCCTGACGGGTCGCATCTGGCCCATGGGCCACATTTTGCCCACCTCTGATCTGTGGTATCTAGTGGTATTGCAGTTAAAATGAAAGTATTTCTAGCTGAACAAATATGAATATTGTTTTAAAATAAACAATCAAAATTAAGGCAAGTAGCAAATGGAATAATGTAAAACATGTAAGTGAAAAGAAACTGAACTTTTAAATCTTTGGAGAACCAGCTTGTGAATGAATATATGCTCATTAAAGAGAATAAGGATCATTAATCCTGGCATCAGATAAGAATATTTAAAGGAAGAAACAGTAATAACCACCTATGTCAATTCTGTCAGTCAAATTTAACTTGGTACTGGATAATCATCCACGGTAGAACATCTACAAGCTATAATAAGAATATATTTCTAAAGCCTTGCCTTAAATGATGGGAGAGACCGAGCATCGCTAAGTACAATTTAGTTTAGTAACTGGGACAAATGTCATTACTTTTTTATTCTAGTATTTAGCTGCAAATAGAGGGAAGATTAACCAGATCGGCAAAAGCAGAGCCATCTAGCACCCTTAGTGCAAGTAATCTACTGTGCTCTGACTTATTGTACTATTCCATACAAAAACCAACCTGACAAGAATGTGCAACTACTTATTTAGTTATATATGTGGCTTGCTGAAGGATCACATCCTATGCCTTCATGCATCTTTCAGTAGGTCAGTTAAATGGGGCACAATGGATGATTTTTTTTAATGTTGCTGGCCAATATTATTGGCCAGTATGTAGTTCTGCACAGCACATTGTACCCTGTTTGACCCCAGTATTAAATTAGAAAGGAATCTTCTTCCCCTTCTCAGCTAAACGAAGCAGTACTCTCGGAGAAAGAAGTAAAACATGCAACCATATGTGAAAATGCTTCATAAGGTAGTTAGGGGTCAGAGTTAAAAGTGCATGAGCAATCTTTGCATGGGAACTTCAGATTTTTTTAGTGCTTCACTTGGCAACAATAACATTCTTTTAATTTCATTTGGAATGGACTTTCTTTGCACTATGCATCTTTTCTTTATAGAATGGAATATTTAATAAGAGGAACTAGATTAAATCATTTTATATGGGTCCTACACAATTGGTACAGTGGATTTTCAGTGGTTAATTCAGGCTTCAACTGAGTTCATCTGAGCAAAGGAATGTCTACTACAGCTTTGTGTCCTAGTCCTGGAGGCACAAATTTGTTCTTTCAGTTCCACATGAAGAACCATCTTTGATTGTTAGGCATATGGAATGAAGATTTGTTTTTCCTTAAATGCAAAATGAGGATAATAGGCCTTACTTCATCACAGACAGATCTGTGGAGCTAAATTTAATTATTTAGCGATTTAACATTTGTAAAGTGAATAGTTGTTCTTAAATAGGAAACACTAGGTAAGGTGATCTTAGAGGATTATTATTGAAATTTAATGTACTGCTTAATTCAGATCTGCCTAGTCTGCCTATTTGGCTAAAGTTATTTTCATTCCTCTTGCTTACGATTGATATGAAAAATGAACTATTTCTGACATTTCATTAATTTTGCTTGCCATAATTATCTCTAATCACTTTGTTAATTACTTAATTGTAATCGATATGGTAATTAGTTTAATTAATTTCCTTTACCACCTTCAGGAATGCTAATTGAAAGTTGACATTCCAGTATGATAGTTGCACCCTGTTTTGAAGGAAATGTCTTTCAAAAGCTCCAACTAGAGAAAAAGAAAAGATTACATAAATGGATTTTTGAAACTATAATTTCAATAGTAGGTTAATCGAATCTATGACATGGATGTGCCCAGCAGATGACATAAATAACTAGAATTTTGTAAATACAGATGCAAGATATAGGAGCCTATATAAAAATAAAAATAAAATACAGATGCAAGATATAGGAGCCTATATAAAATTTTTTTTGTTTGTTTAAAAAATAAAAAAGTCTTGACTGCTATTGCAGTGAGTTCTAAACAATGCTTCATCTTTTTTCATTTGTTTAATCGTGCTAGTTCTACATGTAATGGATTAGTCCAATTGTTTCAAATATGATAGTTCTATATTCTCCATAACTTATTCTTTATTTCGTTCCTTTATTACAGACAGCCTTGAATTTGTACTACTTGGCCATCAATGGACATGGTCTTTCAATTGCATCACTCTTGATTTCCCTTGGCATCTTCTTTTATTTTAAGTAAGTGTATTTAAAATCTTGCACTTTTTGGTTATAATATTCCTGGATAATCAGGTAACTTGAATCATCTTAAACATACAGTCTGGTTTATGATCAAACTTGAATCATGTATTGACTTTACATTTGGTGCTATAGCATGATAGTAAAGAGAAACTCTCCTTTCCCCTGAAACCTAAGAAAAGGTACAAACAGGAATAGGATGTACAAGCAGGGAGAATAAATAAATGATGATGTTGATTTATATATAGAAGCCAGTGGCTAATGAAGGAGAGTTAAACTACCACAAACTAATAATGAAATTCTTTTGAATGACCCAGAATGACAGCACAAGGTAAAGTTACTGTTGGTATCTTATTGGCCTGGTCCGTTTTCTTCAGCAGTGGGATAGGGTAAAAAACCTCTAGTCCTGATGAGTTGACACTTTAATGTAGTGAGCTAGTAGACACTACCCAGCAGCTGTTGCACTAGGGGTTAGTCCATCTTAAAGCAGTAAGAGGCCAGCATTTCAAAGGGATGAGAGGATGTTGTTTCCTTCCAAGCCTTGGAGTAAGTAATGAGCAGGAAGATACTCAAAATAATGAAGACATGTTGGGCTAAATCCTATGCTATCACATCAAGCTTAGATAGTCAGGTTTCTGTCTCCTCTCGCTCTGCACCAAACCAAAGAAGCAACTGACCTGTCTCATAGCATCTATTGATGTTGGGTTCTTCAGCACATTACTATAGTGGGTAATTTGGACTGAAGTACTCTATCCACCCCTCAAACTTTTCTCTTGTATACTGGCCTTCAAACTCAGATGCATAGGGCCTGCAAAGAGCATCTTCAGAGCTAAGGTTTCTGGCCCTGTGTGTATGGATCCTCCATGGAACTTCTTCAGCTTGGCTGCATGGAGAATAGTATCATAGAAAATTAGGGTTGGAAAGGACTTCAGGAGGTCAAGAGACTTCAGGACCTGGGTTTGTTCAGCCTGAGCAAAAGAAGGCTGAGGGGTAACTTGATAGCCACCTACAAATATGTCAAGGGAGAACACCAGGATCTAGGAGAGCAACTTTTCAGAAAAACACCCCTGGGAGGACGTGGTCCAATGGACACAAACTAGTCGAGGAAAGTTTCGGCTGGACATAAGGAAAAATTTATTTTCCATATGGGTAACTAGAATTTGGAACACACATCCAGCAGAGGTGGTGCAGTCACCATCCCTGGAGGTTTTTAAAAGAAGGCTGGACAAACACCTTGTTGAACTCATTTGAGCCCAATTACCTCCTGCCCATGGCAGGGGACTGGACTTGATGATCTTACAGGTCCCTTCCAGTCCTCCTTTCTATGATTCTATGATTTTATGAAGCAGGATCATCCCCAACTAGATCATCCCAGTCACGGCTTTGTCTAGCTGGGTCTTAAAAACTTCCAAGGATGGAGATGCCGGAACCTCTCTGGGTAACCTGTTTCAGTGCCTTACTACCCTCCTAGTGAGAAACCTGCTCCTAATACCTAACCTAAACTTCCCTTGCTGCAACTGGAGACCACTACTCCTTGATCTGTTATCTGCTACCATTGAGAACAGTCTAACTCCATCCTCTTTGGAACCACCTTTCAGGTTGTTGTGGGCTACTAGGCTTCTTTTCCCCAGACTAAATTATTCCAGTTCCCTTAACCTCTCCTCATAGGTTATGTTCCCCAGCCCTCTAACTATTTTTGTTGCCCTCTGCTGGACTCTCTCCAATTTATTCATATCCTTTCTATAGTGGGGGCTCAAAACTAGACTCCAGTCTCCAGATGTGGCCTTACCAGCGCTGAATAGAGGGGAATAATCATTTTCCTTGATCTGCTGGCAACACTCCTACTAATGCAGGCCAGTACGCTGTTAGCCACCTTCACAACATGAGCATACTTTTGGCTCATATTCAGCTTATTATCCACTGTAATACCAAAGTCTTTTTCTTCAGAGCTGCTTCTTAGCCAATCAATCCCCAGCCTGTACTGGTGCATGGGATTGTTCTGTCCTAAGTGTAGGACTTTGCACTTGTCATTATTGAACCATATGAGATTTCTTTTGGTGAAATCTTCCAATTTGTCTAGGTCTCTCTGAATCCTAGCTCTACCCTCCAGCATATCTACTACTTCCTTCAGCTTGGTGTTATCTGCATTCTTTATGAGGGTGCACTCCATCCCATCTTCTAGATCATTGATGAAGACATTGAACAAAACCAGCCTCTGGGGCACTTCACTTGATACCAGCTGCCAACCAGACATTCATTGAGCCTTTGATTACTACCCTTTGAGCATGATGATCCAGCTGTTTTTCTGTCCACTTTACAGTCCATTCATCAAGCCTGTACTTCTTTAGCGTATCAATTCATCTGAACTTTAGGTCTTTGGTTGCAGAGGAAGGAAGGTAGGTTTGCTTCATAGGTATTGAAGCCAATGGCAAAGTATCTGCTACCTTAAAAGAACATTTAATTCTGCTGCAAATTAAACTGTTTGGTCTTTCTGGATGCTTCATACTGTAAGTTTGTAGTGATGTGATTGGTTCTTGTTTGTTATAGACTAAGGATATAGCTAGACACTTGTACACTAGTATAATTTACATTGATTTGTATGATGTTGTAACTGGCATAAAGAAAAACATGTGCAGCTATCCCAGGGAAGTTCACACAATAGACAGCTACTACAGCTTTCTCATTAGGTGGGGGGAGCAAACAGACTGTTTGCTTTTAGCAAATTGACATCCCTGGATGGATATGGATTGACCAAACACAAACTTCTGTAAGTTATCCAAGTACAGTTTACCCCTAGTCCTTTCAGGGGTAACTCTGTACCAGGTTAGGTAAATCTACCCTAGTTTAGGGGTGGTTCATAATTCATTCACAACTTTTTTATACAGGTGTTGTGCTAATTCAGTTCTGAATTCAGGCCTCCAAACACTGCTACAGTATTACTTACTATGTTCAAGACTAGTCAGACTACTAATGATAGGGAACTCTCCCCCTAGTAAATGTGATTTTAATATTAAGTATCTGCTTTCAGCAATCTTATAAAAACAATAATCCCTCTATCCTCCTTTCAATTTATGATGTACCTACTCTTATCTGAGGCAGGCTAAAATGTTCAGAGTTTTCTCTTAGTTTCAGTTGGTGTCAAGCAAAAGTATCTTTAGGCATCAACTATTTAATCCATCAATTTAGACACACATTTTTCCACACGATTTTCAAAAATCACTTAAATTCTGTAACATTCAACATTTTGAGTGTCTTTTTTGAGGCACTGAAGAGGTCTGATGTTTGGAATACAGTTATTTAACATTTTCTGATAACCCTTTTAAGAATGTTTTGGATGGTTCCCTAAAAAACGAATGCTTTTGGAAATCTTAGAATTAACCTGCAATGTGCAAGTTTTCTGCCTTCCTGTTGGACATTTTTTTAAGCATGGCATATGATTTTTCAGTAAAACATATGTTTATTTTGGAACCTCTTTATTCATTTTTGCACCATTAAATAAGATAAACTCATGAAAGAGCTATGCATCTCTATCAACTGTTTGATTTGGCATAATCGGGATGTACTGTTGCCTTAAACCTCATAAAAAGTTTAACAGATTAAAAATCATGTGCCACAGAAGAATGCTTTAGGATTAAATTTTTAAACAATTTGGATGTGATTTAAAAGTTCAGTTATATTAAAGCTGTAATTTCAATACTTATAATATGAAACCCAAGCCAGTTTCATCTTAGATTGTGGTATTTACTGCAAAAGCAGGTGGTCTGCTTTGCTGTTATTGAACTAAATTGTAAGAATGTTATGTTTGTCTAATTCTCTAAGGAATTTTGTCTCTGGTAGAAGGATTTTGTATCCTTAGAGAACCACATGGAAAGAATCCAGAACCACAAACCACAATTTCTAGACTGTGGTTAAGCTGGGAAATAAAAGGAAATTACAAAATTTAAAGGGAGCTGAGGAAAACCTCTACAACATGGTCCCGTGGGATACATGTACAGTTCCTGTAAAGTATTTTTAGTACTTCAAGAGTCAGTGAGGAATAAGACTAATTCCAGGATGTGTTGTGTGTTGACTGAAGTTTGTTATGATAATTCGTGAGTTTAACAGGTGGCTTTTCTGTTGTGTGGGGGTATGCTTGGAATTTCGAATTTGCATCATATTTATTCTTTTAATGATTCATTGTTTCCATGTGATGTCTGTTGGACTGTAGTTCATAACAATATGGTTCAGAAGAATTTTCAAGAAGCTCCACAGTAGAGAGATATGGGATTAACTGCCCCACAAGAAGGTCTTATACTGTTTACTGATGGAGATTGGTTAAAATCCTGAAGTATGAAGTTTTGTATCTCTTCCAATTTTTTTAAGCACTAACTATTAGAATTCTGAATATTTTAGTTAGTCATATAATGCCAAATCCCTTCTAATCTTGCAAAGTGTTTGGCATCACAACAACCTGAGGTGGTGAAAGCCAGGGTCTATTTTTGTGTTGGCAAAAAAGTATTTCCTTTTTCAGTTTTGAATTTGCTGCCTTTTGGTTCCATTGAATGTCCCCTTATTCTTTTGTTTGAGATCTAAAGACTGTTTTTGGAGAGAAGGCTGTCAGGCTCTGCTCCATAGAAGGTATACTATACTGGGTAAAATTTTCAACACCAGTTAAGTAATTTTGAAAATGGGACTTAAGGGCCAGATCCTAGTTCATCTACTGGTCATCTAAATGAAAAAGAGGAGGACCTCTCTTCCTTTTTGTATTAATAGGTTGTTCAGCGATTTAAGCAAGGTGTTTCTTCAATCACATTTAGGCATCCAGAGGTCTAATAGGTAAAATAAAATCTGGCCATAAGCACCTAATCCCAATTGAAAATCAGTTGCAGTTATGCAGTTAAGGGAATCACATTGATCCCAATAGATGCCTGTCTGCATTATTAGATATCCAAATGCCTTTAAAAACCTGACCATAAGTCCCTTAGGTCCTCTTGAAACTTTTACTCTTTACCTCTTATGCATAGACATCACAGGCATGTATTTTATGAACTATTATAAGTAAAATGAAATATCATAAGGAGTGGAAATGCAGAATTACACAGAGGGATTTCTAACATCTTTTTACTGCATGGAATTTAAGTCTAGCAAGAGAAACTAAAATGAACTTAGATCATAATTATGAATAGGTTTGAGTAAAAGCTATTATGTCATTAACAAAAACACAGCACAGAAAAGAGATGTGTGTAGGGGGAAAGGTAGGGGTGGAGGCTTAGGAAGGAATCCTATTTATTGCTGAAAGCAGTCTTTCCTTATTAAATGTCATAAGTATTTCTTTCTTATTTCTTGTCCTGTGATGCTTTCATGCATGGGTGGGGGTGGGTGTGCTGAATATTCAACAGGAACAGCTGTTCGATGACCCTGAGAGATGGCTTCATAAATTGTACATTCCTTTCCTTGCCTGTGCAATGATGTCTTGATAATAAGACAGAATCCCAGATTTGTTCATGACTCATTTGTACATTTAAGAATTAGCTCTAGGCTGGAGTTGTTTTTATATATAAAATACACAGAAAAAAAATCTAACCGAGTATCTTTTATCACTTAATTCTTTTTCTTTATGTTTTCTATCCATTTCCTTCAGGCAAATGAGGGTTTCATGTAGGACCACATTTTAACACCCTTACTCGTTCCTTATATGGTCAGGTTTTACTTCACTGAGACTAAACATCCTTTCTACTCAGTGGATGAATCTACATATGCAATTAATGCAAAGCAATAAACTCTGGAGCTTATTGCTCTAGAGTTTATTGCTGTTGGGTGCACCATTTGAACATATGCCCAGGACTGCAACATGTTGAGCCAGGTTGGAGCAGCCCCGGGCAGCAGGGAGCCCCAGGGGTTAGCCTCCCAGCTCAGGGTTGGCCCCCCAAGATCAACATGCTTCAGGGGGCTGGCTGGGGCATGAGGGTGCTCCAGTGGAGGGCTATCCAGCAGACAGGCCACACACTAAAGCACCCTCATGCCTCAGACAGCCAAGGCAGCATCTACACATGCACTGCCGTAAAGTAGAAGGAGTTAATTAGTCTACTCCAACCTAATAGGGGCACACATATAGACGTGATGTTTACTGTGGAGCTAATTAATCAACTCTACAGTAAATATCTCATGTCAATGGACCCAATGTGAGGAAGGACTCCACAGTTTGGCCTCATTGTCTTATTGGCAGTTTTGGATACATGTGGAATACTTCATAGTTTGTTTTTTTTAGAAAAATGCGATAACATGTGATCCTTATTTTATAACAGCCTTATTCTAAGACTTAAACAGGCATAATTTGCTTCCTATCTCATCTTAATTGTCTGTGCCCACTCTGGTGAACTTCTTCCTTTCTTCCTGTGTTTCACATGTCCTCAGGAGATTGCAAAGCCTGGGCTGCTTTCCCTCCCCAAATCTTTTGGAGAGGGTTGTACTGAAAGTAGAGAATTCTTATACTCACGTAGTGAAAGGACTGGCATTGCATTCAAATCCAATGTGGAAGGTTCAAGTAGGGGAGATTCTCTTAGTGCCCTCTGTCTCATAAATACAGAGAACAGCTATATATGTTCTGAAATTTTCATTAATTGCATTTTTGGAATATTAATTATGCATCCTTAGTATTCCATTAACTTAAATGTTTTGTGTTGAGTCCATTTTGTTTACCTAGTTTTGTTTTTTTTCTTTCTGTCTGTAAGGTTGATCTTCTCAAAATGTTTCTAATGAGCAACATTCACGTATCATGATATATAAGCAACACTAGGTTAGGCCTCTGTAGCTTTTTCTGGAATGAGGGATAAATCAAATTGTGCAGCAGATTTGTACAGACTTTGCATTACTATAATGGAACCCCCATTCATGTTCCTGCTTACAGGAAGAAATGCACCTCTAAAAGAATTTGCTGTGTGTTCTCCTTAAGTATGGCTTTTAGATTATTTAAATCCTTCATCTTCCTCTAAGGTTTTTTTATATACATTTAAAACCTTAACTATCTTTTATACATAGCATTTTATAGCTGTATTTCATATTCTGCACACAGTTATTTAAACTTTGAGTTCTTTGATCACCGAAAATATAAAAAACTATACTTGTCTGTTTGGACTTTCCTTTGACTGTAGCCAACTGGCTTCTCTAATCCAGAAAATTGGAGGCAATGAAACCCTCTTCCTCTTGCCATGTGTTTGCTGCCAGCCATAGACATAAGAATAGGGTCCTGTTTTGGCTGTCTTCCTAATATGGCATTATTCCTTTCTATATGACAAAACTTCCTCTCAGAGACAAGGGGCATTGTATAACTGAAAAGCTATAGGAGGTAAGCATCCAAAAAAGACAGTGCCACCTCCCTTAGGAACAAGACTAATAATAAGAAAAAGCTCAGAAAGTAAATGATGAAGTTTAAAGCCAATGCTTGGTGAATTTATGGTTGAAAGAGATTACTGAGACAAATAATACAATTATATATTCATTCTAAAACTTGTAGAATTATTTATAGATTGTTAAGATTTTACATGAATAGGGAAGGTCAGCAAACAAAGATATTACTTATATGCTTAAGGCCATACTGTGGTCATGTATGATAAGGTAAGAATTTTATATTTGGTATCCAGGGTGTCAAACATATAACCCACAGAGACTCTCTATTCAGACTGCCCAACCACCAGGCACTAGAAGCTGAGGAGTCTGGCCTGCTGCACAGTCCAGGGCCCCACTAGGTCTGGCCATCAGTGGAGAGCTTGGTTCACTCCCACTGTTCTTCAAAACCCTCCACCACCACCTCTGCCACCACGGTGGCCACTATGACAGCCCACATGGATGGGATCAAGGTGCTTTATGGTCCAAATCTGGCCCAGGTGACTTTGACACCCTGGCTCTATATAACACTGCATAAACATCAGTTATTTTGAGACATATTTTCAGAAGTTGATGGAGGTATAGAATATAATATCCCCTTACATTAGCATAAAAACATATTTTTCCAGAGGGTTTTTTTTAGTAAATTCCTACAAAACAAATCCTTTCATTATTGGCATAATAGTATCTGTTGGATTTGCTTTGCATTATATTCAATCAAAGATAAGGCATCATTTGTCTTTCAAAATAATAATTAATTATGTTAAACTGAACATGGAAGGAAAAATTAATGTCTGGCTTTCTTCCTATAAAATAAAGAATTCCAAAACTTTAGAATATCAGATTAGTCCTCAAGTATCTATTATATAATAATTTATCTCATCTCTCTTTCCTAGGAGCTTGAGTTGCCAAAGGATCACCCTCCATAAAAATCTGTTTTTCTCTTTTGTTTGCAATTCCATTGTTACAATAATTTGGCTGACTGCAGTTGCCAACAACCAGCAGTTAGTTGCGACTAATCCAGTAAGTGAAAGTGTATTTGGCTGCCTTGTTGATTTGTGTGGGAAGAGATTTAGCAATGAAAATGACATAAATGAGGGATGAATAGCTGATGAAAAGATGTATATAAAAACTAAAATGTTTCAATTACTGTACCAATGAATTCATTTTTAATATAACAGCAGATGTCTAGAAGCAGCTTAGCCAGTTCGGGTATGAGGTTTCAAAATCACAAGGGGATTAATTAAATAGACAGCCTCAGATATTTCAGATTTTGATCTGGTATCGTGTATCATGTGGAGCTTCATTTACCCAATCCTAAACAACTACAAGATAGACACAGGACCAGAAAGGATGACTGCTGTGGACTTATGCCAGGGGTCTACAGACTGCTTAAATTTGCCCAAAGGGTGGCAGTCAGAAAGGCTGGAGTTTAATCCAAGGGTCTACAAACTGCTTTCATTGTGGCTTCAACTTTCCTTTCTTTAAAGTGTGATAATAATAATTTGATATTCACTCAAGGGCAGTTGTGGAGCTAAAATGGATTAATTAGTTAGGGCTAGATTGTGGGGCCTGTATTCATGTTGGTGACTGTTTACATTGAGAGTCTTGGTCATTCTGGATGTTTTGAAATATTTTAATTAATATTTAGTGAAATACACTGTTGTTATATGATGTTGCAGTCCTTATAAGTAATGAGTAATGAGTTTAATGGCTAGCACACAGATGTCCTTTTCTCATGGGTGGTTTAATATGTTTACTATATTGGATATAATACATTTCTGGGATTTACTCTAAATTAAAATGGTTTTGCCATATGCTTTTGTATGTTTATTTTTAAGGGAATGATTATTTTAGCAATCCAATGAAACCAAGCTTAGATCCATATACAGTTCTGGTGTAGTAGATAACTTTAATTTTACTGGTTTAAAAAAAAAAAAGCTATCCCAGAACATTCAGTTTTGTTCTATTTCAACAGAACTCAGACTTGTGCTCCAAAACCAAACAACAGTAATTTTTTTTAGGTAGAAATTGATTGTTTTTCTTCTCCTATTCCTATGGTGATATAATTGAATATTTTTTAGGGAGTGACCAATTTAAAGAGGGAGAGATGTGTGGGCCTGATTTTGATATCCTTTACTTGGGGATAAATGTATAGAGTTACATCAGAGTAAAAGAAAAACCAGAGGGGAAAATCAAAGCCTATAGATAATTTCTGCTTAGTATAGTTGGCACCAGGGCTAACCATTCAGGAGATTAGTCTCCTTTTCCTGGAGACAGTACATGCACTGACTCTACTGGAGCAACTAATGTAAGTGAGAGAGTGATAAAGTAGCATAAGTAACGTGGGGCAAGCAGGGAAGTGCCAGCTTGTGGTGGGAAGAGGGATAGAGGGGAGTGGAAAAAACCACTGCCACTGCAACTATACAGTCATGCTAGTGGTACAGCAGCAGCCAGAAGTCACTGCTGCCCCTGTATGTTTTAACTGCCCACGGTGCTTTGCTGCATTGTTATGCTTCTGGGATAAGAGACCTAAGTGAAAGATCTTCGTAGAGAAGTTGGCCTCAGATAATTGCACAAAGGAATTTTTATTTGTCAAAATGAGTACATTTATGTCCAAGTAAGCAAGGAACCGGTGAGAGGAGAACATAATGTTGAGGTTTTTCTTGACGCACACCTTGTTGCTGGAGGCTGCTAATGTACCTGGAATTAAATCAGTGAAACTGTTACCTTCTGTGTGGGGCCTCTGAACGTAATCATGAGAATTATGTTAGGAATAAAAACATATCAAAGCAACATTTGTAATAAAGCAGGGTAATCCAGTGGTTTCCACTTTGCCATTGATTCTCACTAGTACTATTGCAGCCAAATTATTTACATTTTATCTTTGTTTTTCCCCCTACAGGTTAGTTGCAAAGTGTCTCAGTTCATTTACCTGTATCTAATGGGTTGCAATTACTTCTGGATGCTCTGTGAAGGCATTTATCTGCATACTCTCATTGTGGTGGCTGTCTTTGCAGAGAAACAGCATTTAATGTGGTATTATCTTCTTGGCTGGGGTATGCAATACATATGTTCTTTCTTTTTTCGGGGTGTGGGGGGAGGGGACCAAAAACTACCACTATGACACTTGGGGTGTGATGTGCAAAGCCTTTATTATTTTCAGTTTCAAATGGTATCATTTACTTTTTTCTGAGCAATTCAGAGTGCACCAGACAATATTGTTTCTCTGAAATAAGAAGCAATATTGCACAAGAATGAAATACTGTTCTTTCTTTAATATTTTAACAAAGTTAGAATTCTTAACTTAATAAATCCTTTTGCACATACCTCTATCTTTGCATTTGTGGAGTCAGGAAGTGACTCCTCCTTTGTATAGAGAAAATAGTCTCCTATTATGAAAAGACATTAAGAAGTAATTATTCATTGTTTCTCATTTTTAAGATGTTTATACAGGAATGAATGTTTATTTTCAGAGAAGTCTCACCATGCCCAGGTGGAGGGTCAGAAACTGACTTGAAGAAGGCCAACAATTTATTTTTCCGGCAGTTCCATTTGACCTACATTGTTCAAAAAGTAGAGAGAGAACTACTGTGTCTAGAGATCTCAATTATAAAATAACATAATAAAAAAGCAGCCAGCCAAATCTGACAGATTTCGATAGAATAAAGAGCACATTTTCAAAAGTCAGATTTCAGTCTTCTGATTATATTTGCACAATGTTTTAGCCCTAAATTTATAAATTATCAATAGTTTTGGATGCTTCTGTTTTTGATTGCCCAGACTCAAAACTAGCTTAATTTTAGAGCCTGGGGGTGCTTGTAAACGCGACAAGGGTTTCGTTCGGTTTAGTTTTCCTAAATTGGAATGGTTGATTTTTTTTAGAAACCCCCACCATTTCCACTGTTTCAAGTTAGGGTGAGCTAAACTGAAGTAACCCCTCATTGTGTATACACAAGGTTTAGGGGGCCCGATCCTTAAAGCCTACCTGCGGGGGGGGGGGGGGGGGGGGGGGGTTGAGCTGCCGGCAGGCTGTACGGTCCCTGAGCTGCGTGGGACACTGGTGCTTCCCTCCACGGAGGCGGTGCCCCCTAGGCAGCACCCGCCTGCTAGCCCTTGGCCTGAGTGGTCCCAGAGGGCACTGCTACCGTGGAAGGAAGCACCAGACCTCGCACAGCTCAGGGCCTGTGCAACCTGGCAACAGCTCATGCAGGAAGGCTTGACCGAAGGAAAAGAAAAAGCAACAAAGCAGCAAGGAGCTTGATCCCCACCTCCAAACCCCCTCCTAGAGTCTGTCTGCCCACCTGAGCTGTGCAGGGCCCAGTGCTTGCCTTTGCAACTGCAGCACACCCAGGGCAGCTCCTGCCCACTAGCAGCCCACCTGGGAGCTGCCTGGGGGTGCCGCAGCCGTGGAGGGAAGCACCAGGCCCTGCACAGCTCAGGCAGGTAGGCTCCAGGACAAAATAAATAAATAAAGATCAGGCTCCTTGCCGCTTGTTTTTGGTTTTTTTGTTTTCTTCAGTCAAGCCTGCCTGCATGAGCTGCTGCCGGGTTGCACAGCCCCTGAGCTGCGCAAGGCCCGGTGCTTCCCTCTATGGTGGTGGCACCCCCCGGGACCACCCAGGCCAGGTGCCAGCAGGTGGATGCCACCTGCTGGCACTGCCACCATGGAGGGAAGCACTGGGGTCCCCCACAGCTCAGGGACCACTTGCCCCACCGGCAGCTCGCCCCTCTCCCCCATCATGGGAGAGGCAGGTAAGCTCCAGCACCCCGTGCACTGTCCCTGCCACCTTCCTGCTGTCTTGGACCACCCGGGAACAGCTGGCTTGCCCCGGGGGCAGAGTGGCAAGGCAGCAGGAGGGTGGCTGAGTGTCCTAGTGATGGGAGAAGGTGGCAGGGATGGTGCACAGGGTACTGGAAGCCTGCCAAGCCCAAGCTTCCCTTACCATGTGCCCTGCCTTGCACTTAGTTATGTAGCAAACACCTCAGATGGGTTTTACCTTGCTACGTAACAAAGTTATTTAAAGGGGAGTATGCCATCGAGCGTGTAAATAGCAATGCCATTAAAGTGGTACAAAAGGGCAGTTAAGCCCCTTTAAAGGCCAATTTTGTTGTGTGTACAAAGGCCCTGGGTGACCAGCGTTTTCTCAAAATCAGATCTAAGATTGAGCACCCATAATCAGTTGTTACTCAAAAATGTAGCTTCAGTGGTTCAATATTATTTCAGTATAACTTCTCTAAATCTCTTTTTAGATATGTATGTGACTTACATGTGCTGTAGAACACAAGCTAATTGAATACTGGACATGCTATTGTTTATGTCAAGACTGTGAAGTTTTCTTTTAAGAATTAAAAACAGCTTGAAGTCCAGAAACTGCCAGTGTTCTTAAGAACAATATTCAGAATATCTTTTTGCTTATGATTTGAGCTAACCCTTCATATATCTTGGTATGAATTTCTTGCTAAAACAATATATTAGGCTACGCTTCCCATGCCAGGAGTGGCATGAAGATAAATCAAGTGATCGTTTAGTGTATGGTGCGATAGAGCAGGTCTGTCTAACTACTGACCTAAGGGGTTAATTTGCAGCTCCTGGGCTCCAACCCAGGCACCACTCCCAGCAGAGAGGTTCCTGCTTGCACAGTGCACTGTGGGGGGATACCTGAACAGTATACAGCTGCCAGCCACTTACAAGTTGGAGAGCCCTGCTATAGAAGTTTGCGACCATATAGCATGTGTGCTAAAAAGTATAAAATTCCACACCTGATGCAGATAATTTTCTTCTACACTCTACAACTCAACAAGAAACAAGGGGACCTAGTAAAATGGTAAAATATATCTAATACAATTATATGGTTATTTTTATTGCTACAGATCAAGAGAAGGGTCAATTGAAGCTATTTATAGGCAGAACTGCTAGCAATCAGCATACACAGAAATGTATCTATGGCTGACTCTTCATTTTCTAAGGCTAGGTGCAGACATTGCACTTTTTCTGGTTTAGGTGGTTGGAAACCAGGCTATACCCAGAACAAAATGAAAGTTTGAGGCACATGGACCAGTTTTAAAATGGAAGATTCTAGTCTAAGACCTGGATCCATGTAGTATCAGACTTACTCCAGTCAGGTTGGACCAATCTGTTGAACATCAGAGCCAGGTCCAATTGTGAATCATGGTAGGCTGTAGCCTGCTAGTATCCCAGGGGACTTTGCGGGGCCTCCTAACTCCCCTCTCAGGAAGTGTGGTTTGACTGCTCCAGCCAAGCATCTAACTAGCCCTGCCCCCAAGCTCTCTAGCTGTCAGCCAAGCCAGACAGAGGGAGGGGGAAAGGAGCCAGTCTTGCAAACTGCTGGGGGAAGGCAGCACCAGTGTTTCACTCTTCGTTCCTGGCTCGGTAGGGGGACACAGAGTGCCCCTGCCTGTCCTGAGCCCTGAGGCCTGCACTGCAGTGGCTCCATGAAGGGCTTGGAGGATCCCTTCCCCCACAACCCTGAGCCAGTGCCAAGTTCTGACTGAAGCTGTTTTCTCCTGTGCAGCCATGGGGCTCTGAGTCCATGGGGAGGGGGAGGAACCATGCACTGGAATCACCTCCCACCAGTGCTACAGCTGCAAGGGCATAGCTCCCCCCCCTCCCCCCCGCACCTGGTTGAGGGCAATTCTAGTGTGGGAACAGGGGTGGAAGAGGGGTGGCTGCCAGCTCAGCCCCAGGGACCTGCCCACCCCCTATCTCAGCACTAGAATCATCCCCCACCTTGTGTTGCATCCACAAGGGCATGGCTGCGCCCCCTCCCTTCACTAGGTGGGGGTGCTGCAGCACCTGGTGGGGGCAATTCTAGTGCCAAGATGAGAAGGGACAGTGGGTCCCTGTGCTGGGCTGAGCTGGCAGCCATCCCTCCCCACCCTTGTCCCCACTCTGGAGTCACCTCTGGCTAGGTGTTGCAGCCACAAGGGCATGGCTGCCTTCCTCCCTAGCCTCCCCCATGAATTGAACCCTGTGGCTGCACAGGAGAAAATGGCTTCACCCTAAACTTCTCTGGCTCAGTGGGAGGTGATTCCAGGGACCGCAGCCCAAGGAGCTGAGCAAGCCCCCACCCAACCCCACCTGCTGCCCAAGCAGTGGCTGCTGCCTGCTGGGCTAGCTTGGCTCAGGTGGGTTCATTTTCCAGGAGAGGAGAAGGGGCAGCTGCCAGCTCAGCCTGGCACAAGGACCCATTGTCATGTCCGTCCGTCCCCCCCCACCCCCAAATCTTGGCACTAGAATAGCCCATACCAGGAGCTGTAGCTGCAAGCCCCGCTCCCCCAGAAAGTTTCTGGGTTAGAGTCACAGGAGAGAGCAACAAGGGTGATGTCATGGTGGGGGTCTGCTGTAGACCACTAGAGCAGGAAGCAGTGGTGAGTGAATGAGGATTTCTTCAGACAGCTAGCAGAAATTTCCCAATCACAGGCCCAGGTTATCATAGGGGACTTCAGTCACCCTGGGCATTTGTACACATGTATGCACATAAGCACTGGGCACTTTTAAAAGCACCCGGTGCTGCAGCATTTGTATAAACAATGAAATGCCCATCAGCATTGAGAAAATAGCAATGGCGCACTTTTGAACTAAAATGCATCAAAGGTCTTTTAGTTCAGAAGTTCACTGCCACCATTTTCTGCACACCAACACTCATTTTTCCATTTATACAAATGCATGCGATGCAGTGCTGGGTGCATCAGTTTGTGTACTACGCATACTCGATTAATTGAGTCTGCTCTGGCGCGCTCGATTACCAGCACGTCAGACCAGACAAAGGTACGTGTATAAATGCAGCCTGACATCTGGGAGGGCAATACAGAAAGAAGTGTGCAGGCAATCCAGGAAGTTTTTGTAGAGTACGGGGGACACCTTCCTGGTGCAAGTGCTGGAGCGACCAACTAGGAACTGTGCTCTTCTTGACCTGCTGCTCACAAACGGGGAAGAATTAGTGGGGAATGTACTAATAGATGGCAACTTGGGTGGCAGCAACCATGAGATGATTGATTTCAGGATCCTGAGGAAGAAAGGATGGAGAGCAGCAGAATAGGACTCTGAACTTCAGAAAAGCAGACTTCAACTCGCTCAGGGAACTCATAGGCAAGATGCCCTGGGAAGCCAGTCTGAGGGAGAGAAAAGTCCAGGAGAGCTGGCTGTACTTTAAAGAAGCCTTCCTGAGAGTGCAGGAACAAACCATCCTGATGCACAGGAAGACCAATGAGTATGGCAGAAGACCAGCTTGACTTAGCAGGGAACTCTTCAGTAAATGAAATCACAAAAAGGAAATTTATAAGAAGCAGAAACTTGGACAAATAACTAGGGAAGAATATAAAAGCATTGCTCAGGCATACAGGGATGAAGTCAGGAAAGCCAAAGCACAATTGAAGTTGCAGCTAGGAAGGGATGTGCAGGGTAACAAGAAGAGTTTCTACAAGTATGTGAGTAATGACAGCCAATAAAGGACGGCGCAGCCACTCAGCTGTGCTCAGGTGTCCTTGGTAATGTGTGGCATATTCAGAGGAATGTGGGAGCACCCCCTGTCTTCTGGCCTCAGCCAATGCAGGCATCTGCCTGCCTGCCCCAGCTGAAAAGTGAACATGAGTTTGGGTCACTGATGATCCGATCTACACCGCTTAGAGAAACCTGCATAGATTGGATCGATTCTACCTCAGGCTTTTTGACTGTCTACTTAGCCTAAATGAGAAAATGGGAACGTGGAACCGAAACTGGTTGTTACATTAACTTCCCTTGTCTGAACTGAAATCTTTTGTTTACATCTTTCTACTTGTAACCTGATCCAGTAAATCTCAAAACATGTAGTTTAGCTCAAAAGTGCTTTCACTGAAGTCAGTGGAACTACTTGCATGCTTAAATGCTTTGCTGGAACAGGGCCTTACTGGCTGCACTGTTTACCCACGTTTTCTTTCCTTTTTTGTTTTGTAATACCGCAGAATTTTGATGCATCAGGCCTTCTTCTGGAAAAATTCTTTTTTAAATCAAAATGTAACTGAAAGCAATGATATTATGTGGCTGATTAAGGCCTGCAGGGTGAAATGAGGTTTATTATGCTTCAGTATTATTCAGTGACATTTTAACAGTACCTTATAATGAAGTAAGAATTCATCTTTGGTCAGATTTATAAAAAATCACATTACTTGCTGTTTTCAGGATTCCCATTGATCCCTGCCTGCATTCATGCGGTAGCTAGAAGTTTATATTACAATGACAAGTAAGTCAAATTTCAGCTTCCAATTTATAAAGAAGTAACATTGTCTTTAAAAGAGAAAAGGGTAGCAACGAAATCCTAAATGATTGTTTTTTCACTGCAGCTGCTGGATCAGTTCTGAAACACATCTGCTGTACATCATCCACGGTCCTATTTGTGCTGCTCTATTGGTAGGCATGTTTTATAAGACGATTTGTTTTTTCATTGCTTAATTTCTTTGGGTTTTGTATGAAACTGGTAAAGTCACTATGTCCCACCACAAAAAAGCTTGTGGAGCTAAGATGACCAATCAAGGGCAAGTTCTTCACTGATTTAAGTGTAACCTACTAAATTAGTTACAAGTCTTCATCTGTGTCCAACCCACAGAGTATGTTACAGCTTCAGCCATAGGGATTTGACTCTCTCTCTCTCTCAAGCTGTAACAGCTCATGCTCCTAGCTCTGGAAGTTCTAGATTCAGTCCCCTGTATTTCAGCTAAGATAGCAAGCATCTTATATGGGAGTGAAGCCCCAAAGTAGTTGTATTCCTATTAGTGCTGAAGTTGGAAAGTTTTGCTAAAAATGTCCTTTGTTCATTCTTCTTCTCTCCCCTCTTCCTCCATCCCCTCACCCAATGCTAATGGTAAGAGATACAACTAAATATTCCAGCTAAAGGTACTGCAGTATGACAGAATTGCCTCTCTATCAGATCTAATGAGAGCGTTCAAGCTATTGAATTTCTTATCTAATTACTTTGCTGCCACACTTAGTTTGATCAATAAAAATAAAAATAGACTGTGGTGGTGTCCTGGTCAATGACTAGCACTCCTGGGTAAAATGGTAATACAAATAATAATTGAGGATGAAGGTATCAAAAGTAACAAAACATGTTGGGTTCTATGAATCTCACCCTAGGAGCCTGAATCTGTCTGTATTGTACTGGAACTCAGGTACCTAATATGGGATTTTGATTTCCATTAGGCAGTAGGGTACTTAAAAGTTAGGAACTATAACATACATAGCAAATAAATATTTTTTGAATAGGGCTGCTAAATCACATACATGTTTTTGAAAATTTACTCCAGAATGTCAGGTCTTCAACAAAGTGTCTCTGAAAGCAAAATCTTGCAGACAGGTAAAGCACCCCTAAAGACCTGAGTGTTAGAGGACAGACTGCCCAGCATTTCTGTGAACACCCACATCTCCTTTCCCTAATATATGTAATAGTGGATAGCCTGACCAAAGAGATTTTCATGTGGCTCATGTGCTTCATTAGTAACAAAGTGGCTATGTTGGTGGTCCAGGAACCACCAGGGAATATGATTCTATACCCTTGTCCACATTTCATGCTTACTTCCCTGCACAAGGCCCAATAGCTGAGAGCACAACCATATGTCTGTTAAATCATAAACAGAGCAAGTAAAGCAACTGAAAGTCACAGTGAAATAAATTTGATGTTATACTCCATTTACATGGGGTCTGAATTTAACCTATGGAATTTTGGCATCTTAGTATCCCTATACGAAACATGGCTTATTACAAAAAAACCCCAACAAACCTATAGACATATACAAGAGAAATAATTTTGGTAATTTCCTTCTTGAATATTTGCTGAGCACGTCAGTGACTTCAAATATTAAAGTAATTTTCAGTAGCATAAGGTATCAGAAAATACTTTGATCGGCTGGACTTAGAAGGATCATCATGTATAATTTACCACTTTATGTTTTCATATCATATTCCATTTTGAATAAGGGAGTTTTGTTAAGAGAAATGGAATGTTTTGGGAAAAGAAACAGTTCATATTTGCCCCTGTGGGTGACACTGCTTCTACTGCATGTCATCTTTATAAAGAACACAGAATCCATTATGTTAACAAGCTGTTGGCTCTCTCCAGCCAAGTAGCAAAAAAATGCAGCATCTGGACATAAACGGTTCTCATGATTGGGTTTGTCATTGTGATGTCAGCATGATTAACAAGAAGCTTTGCTTGTCTTTTGTTCAAATGTTATAATTTAGAGACTGCGACAGGGGAAAGTTCAAACATTTTACAGATTTAAATGCACCAGGATAGATTTTCAAAACTGTTTGACACTAGCCTGTCTACTTCTCTTGAAGCATCTGAGGAAGGTTCTAGTCCATCACATTTTCTTCTTCTTTTAAAGATTATTTCAAGACCATTCTGGCTGATTTACAGCCACTCTGTTCATTGAACTGCCTTTGGCATCAGTTAAAGCTCTGCATAAATATGACATCATTACGTCTGAGTAAAACTCATTATCCAGGGTAATTGCTAGGGGTGTGCAAAATGGGTCCTATTCAAATTGGATACAGAATCGGGGACAGTGATTCAATTAGTTGATTTGGATCACTGTCCCTGATTCAATTCAGCTGAATCCAAATCTGAAAATTCGATGCTGATTCAGAGAATCAGAGATTCTGGCATAGACACAGCTTCAAATGTTTTTTCTACGTACCTCGAGGTACCAGGTAGCTCGCGAATGTTGTGATGCTGGGATGGATGGAGCATCTCACAGAAGCATGGGAGGAGGCCCCTCATGCTTGGTGGCAAACCCAGAAGTAGACTGGAAGTACTTCCGATCCACTTCTGGGTCTCCCAGGGAGCGCGCTGGGGGCCCCCTCGCACTTCCCCTAGATCAGCAATCAGCCACAGGGGGACCCTGGGTGCCCCACCAGACCCAGGAGGCACCAGTTGCTGAACTGGGGAGGGGCAGGGGGCCCCCCCCACACCCTCTTTCTGGCAGACCCAGAACTGCTTCTGGTCCGCTTCCAGGTCTGTGGCCGTGCATGCACCCCTCGTGCTTCTGTGGGACACACCATGTTCCCCAGCATCGCACCATTCACGAGCCGCCTGGTACCTAGAGGCATGTGGAAAAAACATTTAAAGCTGCGTCTATGTCAGAATTGCCAAATCTTTCTGAATCTCTCCAAATCATGTTAGAGGGTTCCAATTCGATTCGGAGAGATTAAAGGGTCTCCTGATTTGATTCAGATTTGGAGATTCAGCCACTGAATTGGGCTGAATCTCTGCTGAATCAAATCAGGGACCAGAGTTTCGCACAGCCCTAGTAATTGCCCCAGTTCTACAAAGTACTAAGTAGCTTCAGCTTTCATTTCTTCACATCTAAATACTATACAGGCAAAGATATACTTTTTTCTTTTTTCCTGAGTCTTTTTGACTGAAACTTTCCAGAAAGCATTTGTTCTCTGATTAAGAACAAAAACCTATAAAATTTTAGCCAAAAGGGAAGACAGGTAACAAACTATATATAAACAATTGAAAACAACCCATTTAAAATGGAAATGATGGTCCAATTTTAAGAGTGGGTCTGATCCAACAAATAACCTGATTTCAACATCCACTTTAGTTAATGGGACCACTGACTAACATGGTCACTAGATCAAGCCCTATGTATATTACCATTTGCCCTGGCAACCATTCAACCGGTTTTGGGGTTTTTTTTCAAAAAGCAAGAATACCGGTTTCCTTTTCTGTCTTTTTTTTAAATGTAATGGCCCAGTCTTGAGCCTAGTGCATAGCCTATTGTGCCAACACTTACCAAATGCTTGCTGGAGATGTCTGTGACCTGTAATGTGCAGATGCCATCAGAGATACACCATATCTTCTATCCTCTAGGTCATGTTAGTCAGGCCTCCCGCACTTATTGATGTAACTTTTAAGAAGTCCTTTGGTATTAGTAGTACTAGTTACTCAAATTTGAAAGCCTAGAATCAGTCCTAAATCCAATTGATAAAGAGAATGAAATCCTGGCTCCACTGAAGTTCATGGTAGTGTTGGCCAGATTTCAAAGATATTGTATGTTACCCTGTGTCAGTGGTCTCCAACTTTTTTATGGTAAAGGTAACTTTTTGGCATTCCAGTCCCCCACCCTGTCCTGCTTCCAACACCACCCCTGGCCCCCTGCCCACTCCTTCCCACCCCCCAACCTCGCCCACCCCCCGCCTCCCAGACAAGCTGCCTGGGCTCTGATCCCACTCACCCCACCCAGCCCAGCACGTCCTGCCACTCCTGGTCATGGAGCCTCTGACAGACTGAAATCGACTGTCAACGACTCCAGGATTGTCCAGTCAATCAAGAGCGACTGGTTCATGACCACTGCCCTATGTTAGATTTCCTAACTCCAAAACTGTTTACTTACTTACAGAAACATGACCTATGTAACAGTATAGTCTGTGATAAAACTGAGAAGTGCATTGCATCTACAGTAAAAGCTCTGTTATCCAGCATCCCCTGGGAATAGGGGAATAGGGGATGCCGGGGAATAGGGGATGCCGGTTAATCAAATATTCTTGTTAATCAAATGTGCAGCATCTGGTGCACTCCCCGGTGTCAGTGTGCTGGAGGACAGAGAGGGGGGCCCTGCACAGGCTGCTTTGCCCCGGGCTGAAAAAGTGGCAAGAACTCTTCTCGCGGCTGCAGCAAAACTTGGAAGTGGTACATGTGTCCTTGTTGAACCTTATGAGATTTCTTTTAGCCCAGTCCCCCAATTTGTCCAGGTCACGCTGAATCCTGGCCCTACCCTCCAGTAGATATTACTACTCCCCCTAGCTTGGTGTCACCTGCAAACTTGCTGAGGGTGCACTCTATGCCATCTTCCAGGTTGTTGATTAAAACATTGAACAAAACCGGCCCTAGGACCGGCCCATGGGGCACTCCACTTGATACCAGCTGCCAACTAGATATTGAGCCATTAATTACTACTCCCTAAGCTTGATGCTCCAGCTAGTTTTCTGTTCACCTTACAGTCCATTCATTCAGCCCACACTTCCTTAGCTTGCCTGCAAGAATGTTGTAGGGCACTGTATCAAAAACCTTGCTAAAATCAAGGTACACAACATCCACTGGTCTCCCCACATCCAAAGAGCCAGTCATCTCATCATAGAAGGCAATCAGGTTGGTCAGGCATGATTTGCCCCTGGTAAACCCATGCCAACTGTTCCTAGTCACCTTTTTCTCCTTCATGTGCTTAGAAATTTCGGAGGATCTGCCCCACGATTTTTCCAGGGCCTCAGGTGAGGCTGACTGATCTGTAGCTCCCTGGATCCTCCCTTCTCCCTTTCTTAAATATGGGCCCTATGTTTGCCCTTTTCCAATCATCCAGGACCTCTCCTGCTCATCATAAGTTTTCAAAGATGGTGGTCAATGGCTCTACAATCGCATCATCCAACTCCCTCAGCATGCTCAGGCGCATCCCATCCGGCCTCATGGGCTTGTACACGTCCAGCTTTTCTAAGTAGTCCCTTACATGTTCTTGCATCACTGAGGGCTACTCACCACCTCTGCAAACTGTGCTGCCTGGTGCAGTAGTCTGGGAACTGACCTTGCCTGTGAAGATTGAGGCAAAAGAGGCATTGAACACTTCAGCCTTTTTTGCATCCTCTTGACAAGGTTGCCTTCCCCATTCAGTAAGGGACCCACACTTCCCTGATCCTCCTCTTGCTACCAGCATACTTGTAGAAGCCCTTCTTGTTACCCTGCACATCCGTTACCATTGCTAGCTACAACTCCAATTGTACTTTGGCTTTCCTGATTTCATCCTTGTATGCCTGAGCAATGCTGTCATAGTCTTCCCTAGTTATTTGTCCAAGTTTCCACTTCTAAAACATTCCTTTTTGTGATTTTGTTTACTGAAGAGTTCCCTGCTAAGCCAAGCTGGTCTTCTGCCATACTTGCTGGTCTTCCTATGCATCAGGATGGTATGTTCCTTCACTCTCAGGAAAGCTCCTTTAAAATACAGCCAGCTCTCCTGAATTCCTCTCTCCCACAGTCTGGCTTCTCTGGGGATCCTGCCCATGAGTTCCCTGAGTTAGTTGAAGTCTGCTTTTCTGAAGTCCAGGGTCCTTACCCTGCTGTTCTCCATCCTTCTTTTCCTCAGTATCCTGAATTCAGTCATCTTATGGTCACTGTTGCCCAAGTTGCCGTCCACTACTACATTCCTCACGAATTCTTTCCTGTTTGTAAGTAGCAGCTCCTAATTGGCCGCTCCAGCACTTGCACCAGGAAATTGTCCCCAATACTCTCCAAAAACTTCCTGGATTGCCTGTGCACTTCTGTATTACTGTCCCAGCCAATGTCAGGGTGATTGAAGTCCCCCATGAGAACCAGGGTCTGTGATCAGGAAACTTCTGCTAGCTGTTTGAAGAAAGCCTCATCCACCACTTCCTCCTGGTCTGGTGGTCTATAGAAGACCCCCAACATGACATCACCCTTGTTGCTTTCCCCTCTGACCCTAACCCAGAGACTCTCAACAGGCCTATCTCCAGCTTCATATAGATATGTCTCACTTGCGTGGCCTCCTGAGGAAGGTCACTTGATGCCTCAAAGCTAATTCAACAATTCTCCCATCTATCCAGCAGTTGGTCCAATAAAAGAGATAACAGAAAACTCCTTGCCTTTCTTGAATCTTCTTGTCACTTGTTATGGCTATGAATACTCACTGTGTTTAAGTAGATTTAAGCCCAGATCCACAAAGGTATTTAGGCACCTAACTCCTAGTGGGGGTGTCTACACAAGACATTTGCTTTGCAGTAAAATCTCAGCATCTACACGTGTGGTCCTATTAGTCCATAGTAAACTAATTGTCTCTGCTGTAGGTTAGTACTTGTCAACACAAGCACTATCCTACAGTGGCATTATTTAGTGCACCGCAACACATGTAGATGCTGATGGGGCTGGCCGGGACATGAGGGTGCTTCAGTGTGGGGGGCTGCTTGCTAACTAGCCCTGTTCTGGAGCACCCTTTTGCCCCAGCCAGCCCCTCCACTGTATGATGAGCCAGGTTGGAGCAGCCCCAGGCTGGCAGGCTGACCTCTGGGGTGCCCTGCCAGCTGGAGCTGTTCCACTCTGGCTCAACATGCTGCACTCCTGGGCACACATGTAAACATCCAGGAGCAATAAAAACCAGCACAAACTGTTCTGGAGCATATTCAGTCACATTAATAGGATATGTAGTCATGCCCAGTGGAACCCAAATCTGGTTCAAACTCAGTGAACAATAAAAGCCTGCTAACCACTGTAAAAACTTGGCATGACAATTTTAAAATATTATATTTCAAATATTTATATGCTCTAAAAATAATCATAATGTCATGACCTTCTTTTTATCACTTTTTCCATAAGTGAACAGTTTTAGGGCAACAGTACATACATACCTACATGCATGCCTAGTAAAGTTTTTCATTTTCCATAGATGATTAAAAGGCACTTTTGTCCTTAACACTGGCACAGCAAAAATTATTATAAATCTTGCCTTTTCAGCATCTGTCTACACTGGAGGTCAAATCTTAATTACTTTACCCAAGCTGGTAATCCCAATAAGGTCACTCAGTGGGGCTTTAACTTCAGTGAAGCAAGTGATATAAGGCCTGATTTGGAAATGACTTGGCACCTTCATGCTTAACTGGGAAACACAGAAGAAACATACTAACTCAAACTGAACTTTTTGCTTGGGCATTTCTCTGTACAAGCAACCCCCACTTGGTGCTCCTAATTGGCTCCAAAAAAAACTAAGCGCTAAGCGAAACCGCACTAAGCGAACCCCATTTGCCCATAGGAATGAATGTAAATATAGATAATTGGTTACTGCGGCTTCTTGCGGCCACTTCTTGTCACCACCACCTCTCCCAATTAGCCTGCTGGCCTCTCCAGTCCCACATACCAGCCCAG